AATGCTAATGTGTAGCGACTCTACCTTTATGCGTTATAAATTGTCAAAATCTATGTGTACCAACGTTACTTTAGGTTTTATATAATATAAATCTATCAAATAAAATTTTTAATATTTTTTATTAAATGAGTATCTTCTTTAATCAATTCAAATAAAATTATTTTATTTTTTATTTTCTTAAGTCATGTTTCAAATTTTGATAAATTAAATTACTATAATTTATTCATTTTATAAATTTTTATAATATCGATATGTAATTTACATTGTCTTCGATAGTCTAATAAATTATAAGAAGTTTATGTATAGCTTACGCTATCTTAAATTTCTTTCAGTATTAATCATAATCAAAATTAAAATTCAAATACTCCATTTACGAATAAAATTTTTCTTAATGATTTGCAGTATAGTTGTGTGATCTTCCTTCACTTTCTGTATTGTTTTCTCGTAGGGTACATGTATAACTGCATTATCTTGTATCCTAAACATTATAATTTTTACGAAAAATGATTTTAATTCTAAAATAAATTTTTCTTTTACTAAACTTAATTATAATCAACTAATTTCATAATTTTTAGATAGAACTACGTGGCTTTGAGTTTCCCATTGCATCTGGGAATACGTAGGAGCGGGAACCGTACCCGTCAAGTTAAAATATTTTTTAAAATAACCCGAATAATATTTCAATAAATAATATTTCTTCTTCTAAAATAAAATAATTAATGTTTAGGGGTTAAATAAATATTTTTCAAAATTAGAATAATTTTGTACAATTAATTTTAGGTAACCGTTTTTTAAACGGACGTTGTAAGGTGCTAATACCTTCCCTACACGTAAATGACTCCTGAACTCATTTTTTGGTTTCAAAGATCGTATTATATTTAAGTTTTTCCAAGGTTTTTCTTAAAAATAAACTTTGGTGGCGACTCCTCTGATATTTTGGAACAAGTTTGTCATCCGTCGTACCGTTGCGATCTCCCGGTTGCGACAATATACATATACATATATATATATATATATATATATATATATATATATATATATCCATATAAATCAAATATCTACAACATTATTTAAAAGGAGTCATGCTTATATAAAACGCTTAGTATCCAATCAAAAGCCTCACTACTAGTCTTACTTCAACGAATAACCAAACGGCACTGTAACTCACAACTTCCATCCAGTAACTGCACAACTTACCTATTTACATTCTAGCATATGAAATTTCATATAGTCCAAATATATGCAACATAACTAAATAGCAATAATACATTTATAAGTGTGCTGGCCTGACAATTATAATACGAATGCAGTTGAGAAAAAGAAAAGTATGAATGCCTATTTTTTTACCACAAATTTGAATGCTTTGACTGCAACTTTTGAAATTTCATTTTAAAAAATATGGTTAGTATTTTTAAAAAACTAAATTTCAGAAATGACTTTTTAAAGGCTTTAAGAATTTAATTTTCCGAAGACTTTCTAAATTTAATTTTTGGAAGATATTGTATTAAATATTTTTCACAAATTAAATTTAGAATTGACAATAAAAAGAGCAATGAAAATTAAAAAAAAAATGATACAAAAGTCATATGTTTTATGGCTTAGTTTTGGGCCTGGTGGTTACTATTTACTAACTTAAACTTGAGTACAACACTGCGTCGGTTTTGACCCATCACATTTTCTTATTTCTTTTAAGTTAATTTACCAATTAATACTTCCAGATTAGTCTCAATATCCCATGATTAAGATTACTACTTCGAGTAGAAAATGAAATATCAGCTCCCAATTTGATTAAACAACAAAATTTATAACACGACCAATATCCCTCTTATCAAATCCTCGCAACAACAACCAAATGTTCAAGGTATAATTGCAGGTTCTTCGATTTTGGAATACGAGGTGGTTGCTACCCTCTCCATCTCTAATATTCTGAAATATTTTGTTAATTCTTCCTTATTGGCCTTGATGGTTTGTCAAAGGCCCAAGGGTCCAACTAGTAGCATCTTGCATATCAATTCATTTATGTATAAATTTAACAACTCATTTAACTATAAAAAAAATTAATTAAAAAGTTACATTAGATCATCATTTATTATTAGATGGGTGATAAATCCTCCGTAATACGTCTTATTACTGATCCATTGAGTTGGGTGGTAAAATGCCAGTAAATTAGGAATAGGTGTTTAAAGAATGAATTTAAACTCGATAGTGTTGAATATATGTAAATACTAAACTTTATTTTATAAAATATTATTTTAAAATTAAAACATAATATATTTCAAAATGGATGTGCTAATACCTATCCATTAAAAACATCATACATGAATGAATTATATATTTTTTTAACGCATTTATGATGGATCAAAATAAATTGTTGATTTATGCTTAATTTATCCATCTATTAAAATTTATTCAATTAATTTGACACCACTTAACAAATGCTTCTGGACTTTCAAATTGCGATAAAAATTGTGGTTCTTGCTGCTTTATTATGATGGTTGAAATTGCAAAAGTTAGCTTGCAAATGTAGCCTAAGGGGTCGTGATTGGATTCTCGACACGTTTGAGAAACTTTCCAATATTACAAAATTGCAGCAATAATTTCAACTGTGGACCACAGTTCAAAAGTTTTCTTGATCTATAAGGAACTTAAGCATGTCAGCCTTTCATTCACGTATACAACAGCATGCGGAGCCAGTAATTCCATTCCTTTTGGATCGTGTCACATCCACACCACAACCAATTTTCATCACCATCCTCAATCCCCACACCCCTGCCAAGAAAGGTGCCAACAAAATATCTTAGAATTATGAAGTGCGATACAATACAATGATATAATCATTTTTTTAAAATTTTAATGTAGTTGATATTATCTTACTTTTCATCATTATTGTATTATTTAATCTTTTACATATTTTATTGTAAAAGCATTACTGTAGCCAAATTTTAATAGAAGTGTCATGATTCAAGTTATGATATCGCTAATGGAAGAAAAAATGTATACAAAATATTAGAATATATAAAGCATATAAATTGTGATAAGGAGAAAGTTGTATAATGTATATCAATGTCTAGAATGGATACGATTTGAAAGATTAAAAAGTAAACATAGCATAGGCATGGAATGAAAAGATGGTAAGGAAAAAAGTAGAGTGGTAGTAGTTGCAGCGTGGGGACGAGGGAGAAAGAGAAAGGGAGGGCCAAAACGCTTAACCGATGCTTCTTTCAGTTGTAATAGGAACTATCTTGTCTTTGGCTTTGTCTTCCAATGACTTGAACAGTCACAGCATTAGGTGACAAGACAGCTATTTGAGGAGGTTTTGTAACTGTTGCTGCTGTTGGCAAATTTTCTGACTGCCTGAAGCAAATTTTAGACGCTTACATGCTTACTGCACTGATTGACACTTGAGCATGACTTTCAGTTACGTGGCTCGTGCTTTCCACATTTCTGATTGCTTTTAGTGACCCATTAATCGCACACTCAATCTCTTACCAATTCACTTTGCTTTATCTTCCCTTAGCATCCACATTTTGTTTTCTAATAAACTAAGCATGAGAATTCAGAAGTTGTTTTGCGCTCTATGCCCATGTTCTTAATGTTTTGCAAGCAGTATCCTAAGGTAACATTTGGCACATGAACGGATTACATAACAAAATAGAATAGGACAAAAGTTAAATTTAGTTCTTCAATTAAAATAGGGTTTCTTCTAAGTAACTTGCAACAAACATAAGTGCACACCTTTTATTGAGGTAAAAATTTAATTTTTAATTGAAAATAGCATCAAAGCACTTATAAACCTACACCTGTGCTTTGCCCAATTGAATAATCTCGCGTTTCAATCTCTCTCGCTCTATCGTTTTAGTGAAATCAAATGAGTTACTTTTGCAATCTTGTGTTCAGTTTTCTTTTAAAATACACCAATCATATGATTCCTATAATAACCTGTTTACTAATACGCTACCTAATTCTTGAGATTATTGTCTATCTTAAGCCGGAATACTACTTTTATGTCAGTGATAACGCGCAGGATGTGATATTATTTACGGGTAAAAAGAAAAGGAATCAAATTTTTGGGTATAGTATAGCCAGGGCAATTTGATTTGCATAAACATTTGTGCAATGAATAAAATGCTTGTGTGTCTACTATCAGGAATGTGCACTGAATTGATTAAGATTGAACCACTGATTTTGAAGATTTTCAAAGTACTTTCGATTCTGTGTAACTAACTGCTAAGATGAGGCCAAGCACATGACTACATATTTACGTTTACAGAGACTAGCTTTCTCTACACAGTAAATGGGACCTCCCTGCATATATGCATGTTCTGCTCTTTTCAAATTTAGTTTTGCCACTTTGTGCAATTAAATAGAGTTCAAACAAATAACCCATGTGAGCTCTTGGTCGCTTATGCTTAATATTTGGGACCACTTTCATGTGCCAACTTGCAGTGAAAGCTCACTCCTTTTACTATCTTGAGAATCTGAAATTGGCTACACAGCTTTCCTCATTATCACTTGTGGTCATCAAATTTAGGGTACAATGATTCTTACACAACAATGGCGTTGTGTAAATTATATAGTCAACCTTCCCAGTGGGATAATGCTTGTTAATGTTGTTAGTTCTTACATAACAAATACTAAACTATTTTGTGCTTGTTACATGGTCATTTCCTTGATCATTTGATCTAAACACAAGATTTCTCCCCTTTTCCACCACAAACTACAAATGCTAGATGGATATTCACACACGAAATTAAATGGCATTACTTATATAATATAGGTGCCAGTTGGAAAATGTCAACAATTCTGATATTCATGACAATGACTTCGATTGCATCAGGTTAACAGTATCCGGAAGAGAAATAGCAGGTTAAAATAGAGAATCGCTCATAACTTCGGTTATAGTAAAAATATAAAAATGAAACACAACAAATAGGCTTCTTATTAGTAATTGAATGACAACATAGCAAATGCAAAAATCTTGCACCTTTCAGCACTGTAGGAGTTATATGGAATTGAAGTTCTCTTGACAGTGACTCAAAGGGAATAAACCCAAGTCTACTAAACTCAAAATTACATTATGCTATAATTCATTATTGAATTTAATATCATCTATGACAAACACATCTGTAGTGGTATGGGCTGTTAATTGGGTCATTTCCCTCTACAGGCACCTGCTCAGCTCTGCATTTATACTTACAACCTCTACATTCATTGTACGTACAAGTTGGTGCTGTGGATCCAATCATCAGTCTCCTAGAATTCCTCATTTTCCATGCCTCATTGCTACCCTGAGATTCCAAATACTGAATGCATAAATTTAAGTGCAAATGGAAATCTACCAAGAAATTCAAATTGATTATTCATGTGTTTGGCTGGCTCACCTTCAAACTTGGTTCTCTTTGTGGTTGAGAGGATTGAGACACCAATTCTTCTGTTTTAATTCCTGCAACAATAGATTGATAATTTTAGAATACATAGAAAGTACATTCTCTAGCAACTGATGACAATAAAATTCATAAACACAAAGAAACTGAGGCTGGATTATTCATGTACAAAGTTAAATACAAAATACATAAGAGGGGTAGAACCTGACAAACTTAGAAAAATGATTTTATTAAGAAACCTGGGAATAGTCTCCATGAAGAAAACCATGAATTGAAGCTCAGCAATGACATAAAATTGAAAGTAAATTTTAGTATAATAAGAACCACAAAAAAAAAAAAAAGGAGAGAGAATAGAAGAAAGCATAGTAAGAACCAAATGAGAATGAGAATTCATTGGAAGCCATAAGAAGTGATGAATACAAATAGGACAGGGTGACATGACTATGACCTTGTGTAACTTTAGCTGCAAGAATTAAGGTTGAGAGTAGCAAGAGTACTTCAGGTAGTTTGGTGTCTCTCATTCTTCCCTTTTGGGTTGTAATAACTTTGAAGGGGATATGAGTGTTGATGGAGAAAATATTTAAAGGGTATTTATGGGTTTGTAGAAAGATAAAGATGGAAGAGAGAAAGAGAGAGATAATGATGTTGTGGTGAATTAATGACCATAAGAGATAGACTGGCAAAATCTGCACTGAGACAGAGGAGCATGATCAAGAGGTACAGAATGCAACCCATAGTGACTAACTCTTGGGGAATTCTAGACCTAACCACAATTACTAGAGTGCCCATATCCTAATTAACCTGGCCATAGTGAAGATAGTGATTGATTTCATATTTTGCCTGGGTAAAAGTGGTGTTTCCATTCAAAGAATCATTTGGAATGGCCATAGCAATGTAAAGACAGGTCAACTACCAAAACGTGCATCCAGGGTTCTCTATTTTGGATGTGCCTTCAGATTCCAATGAAAGATCTTGAACAAATGTACAAAATCATATGGACTACAATTCTTTCAAAGTATCATTTAATGTGGTCGATGGGGCCATGAGTTGAAAGTTGTCATATTTTAAACATTAAAAATCAATCTCCAATTCTCAATAAACCAACACTCATTAATTAACTTCATAAAATATTGACTTAGGAAATGGTGGTTCTGCGTTTTGTTTTGTTATATCTATCTTTTGTACTATATATCAGATATTTGAAGAAACTTTTGTGTATTTAAAAGAGCCTTGAGGATAGGCTAAGTACATTTTGGAAACCCAAAAAGTTCCCAACTGAAATTACAGCTAAATAAAACAATTTTCAACTTTCAACTCATTATCAAAATCCCTTTTCACTGTAGACCAGAGTTTCTCATTTTAGATACCCTCTTCAATATCACCACACCTCTCTTGTTCATCTTACTCTAGCTCTGGCAAGCATGTTACATCATCAACGTCTGTTAAAACATCTATTTATTATCTTTGTTGTTTCATAAAGGGTTTTCGCCTGAATGAATGGTAAGATAAACTAGCACTGGTAAAATTATCATCCCAGGATCAATCGCCCTAATTTTTAAAAGATTCTTAATAAAAATTCCCATGAAGATAAGATCGTAAAATCATTATCCATTGGAGCCAAGTCGAAATTTGGTTCTAGCTAATCCACATGTTTCTAACCACCTTAGATTCAAATGCTTAATGTTGTCCTGTTGGCTTGTCGCATTGAACTAGGAAATTTGAGCAAGAAAACTAGGAAATCCCAAGTCAAAACAGCATTTTTATGGTACGGACCATAAAATCATTACGGAATGAAAATAACCAAAAAGACATCCCAGTCTTCGTGAACATATTTTAAAATACTTCAAAAAGATAAAGTCGCATTTAAAAGTCAAGACCTAACATGGAAAATGGATCCGATTCCGTAGGTTTGAATCTTTATTTTATTTTATTTTATTGCTTATTAAAGTCGAAGTTGGGTTACGGGGTTTTTATATCCGCCAGGCCCGTCTCCAAACCCACATTGTGATTGAAATTATCTGGTCAGTGTAAAATTTCTTCACTACTATGATTGTTGATAGGGAAGGGTTCAAGTTAGATTATTTTATTTTTTCATTTTCTAATTTTGTAAGTGTGGATTTATATAATAAGTAGCAAAATACAATAAGGGCTGGGTTGGATCCTTAAATTTTTATTTTTTTTCCCAATAAGGATGGAAGTAGGGTTGAGATTGAGAATCGAGAGTCAGAGTCAAAGAAGGGAGAAATTTGACCTATCCTATATGTTGTCATGACTATTTAAAGAGTTTTAGAAGAATCTTTATAAAATTTATTTTAGATTATGAAAGTGTCTTATAATATTTTTAATTTTATTTTATTTTTATAAGTATGGTAAAGAATTTAATTAAAATTAACTCTATAAGTTTATCAATAAGCTTTTAAGTACTCTAATTGAGTAAGTTTGATTATCTAAAATTAGGTGAAAGTTGTGGTGAATTAGCATGTATATGACTTATAAATAAATTAGCAAAATGACCTGCTATAATATGTTTTAAAATTTATAGTATTTATAATTAAATCGTTAATAAATTTTACAAGTTAAAAATATTTAAATATTAGATATTTAAAATAGGTTATTTATCATTTTTTTTTTAAAAAATCATCTACTTTTTTAAAGAAGAAGTTCTTAAAGTCAATTTCTTTTTCATTCACGTCAAACCTTATTTCAAACTAACTTCATTTTCATCTTTGTTTCTAAAGCTAGTTCAAGTATTTTTGTTGTGTTTCTAACTCCTAATTTGATATTCTATAGATGTTGTTGAAATTTAAGCGATAAAAGTTTGAAAGAGATATCAAAGACAAGAAATCAAATAGAATGAGGTAACCCCATTTGGAATAGTGTTATAGAAGTTTTGTTGAATTCTTACATATCCTACTTCAATTCCTTCTTGTTTTTTCCTCTCAAATAGCATGCAAACCTGTTTCTTAAATCTAAAACTCAAATAACCACGCTTTTTTTTGCATACCATACTTTGAATAGTGATCTTTGTAAATAGAATGAATTAAATATGTAAATATTATATAGTCATCTTAATTCTCTTACAAACAAATAATTTCACTAGATCGATATAGGAGTACTGACTAAAGAGATGTGGTTGAAGGCTAAAAAAATACATAAAACACAAATTCTATAATTTTTACCTAAACTCTACTAAATTTGCTTGAGCTAATTTTAGATAGTGATGAACCAACAAATGTCGTGACAATTTCACTTAAGCCATATATATTTGGCTTAAATGAATGTTAAAAAATTTTGTGGCTTAAGCTAAGTCTTACATGCTTAAGCGATATTGATCCAGCAAGCTATGTTTTTTCTGTGATTTTTTGCTTAAGCGATTTAACATTTGGCTTAAGCAAATATAATAGTTATGAAGTAGTTTGCGATCATTATACATAGAGGGCATGGTAAAGATCTAAAATGACATTCAATAATCAATCAATACATAATCAAATTTTAATTATGTATTGAAATTGTGAGAGTAGATGAGAAAGGTTTAAATGTAAAAATCATAAACTTCATATATAGGTTTAGGATGAAACTTACAAATCTAAAATGACATTCAAAGTTCTATTGATTCCAAAATTATTTTTTATTATAAATTGAAACTCAATCAGTGCATATGAATACAAACTCTCTTAAAATTAAAATATAGATAGGGGATATATACAACATTTGCTTGAAAATGTTCAAAAATGACTATGAATACAACCATTAAGATAATGATATAAATTAACAAGCTTTGAAGGTTCAAAGAGAAATTTTGAAAATGTTTAAGGAGAACTAAATCATAAATATATGAAGATGGTTGTTATTAGGTTACCAATAAAAAATCTAAACTATTTATACTTTTTATACTACATCCAATGGTTCAAAGAAGCTCACTCACCCATGCACCACCTATTTGTTAACTCATGTTAGCCTTCATCGTAAAATTACCTATTAAATCCTTGAAGATTCCAAAAGTATATTTTTATGTCACACTTTTAATGCTAAATTCAAGTTTCTAACATCCACTATTAATTGACATTTCTTCACTATATAGCCGAATTGTACCATGATTTCTTATTTAATATAGCAGCTACATTGTTTGCTTTACTCGAATGGTATAATTACTCGAAGTTAGAATTCTTCAATGGCTCCATCTATCAATCCCATCACATATTCAACTTTTTCTAACCAAGCAGTTGTTTCAAACTTTGGTGATTGTTAAACACTTCAAATCTTATCACTTAGAGATAGTTTTTATAGATCTTTGATGCTAACACTACTGTTGCTAGTCCAAAACAAACGTTGAGTACTTTACTTCATGTAGCCTTATCTGCCTAGAAGCAAAAACAATTTTCCTCTATTCTGTATTATCACATTCACATCTCGCCTAAACCCCAAGTTTCCTTTTCTAGATCAAGCAAAGCTAAAATTGATACCAACATCAATCATTTCTCTCATCCTTTCTTCTAAACAAAACTTGCTCCTTCTGAGTTAACTTAGTCAACTATAATACTAGTCAAAAAAATTCTTCAATTGATCCATGAGATTATTTACCTTTGGCAGCAAGTACTTATTCTTAATGGTTACTACATTAGACTAATGATGCAACACATACATCCTCATGTTGTTATCTTTTCCATAAAAATGTCAGCATTCCTCATAATAACACGTTTAATCTCATGAATTGTTTCTGCAGTAATCCTTTCACTTGATTCTTCACCTCAGTTAGCTCCATCAGTAATATACTATACAACGCAATCGACATCAAACTAGACCTCAACACGAGACCTATAGTGAATTCAAGTTCCCTTATAAGTGATAATTCTGTCAGTTCCTTTAGAAAATACTTTAAGAATTTCTTCCACTGTCAACATACTTCCACATTTGGAGAGTTTCATTCTTAAGAGGAAACAAAGCTACAAAATATCTAACCTTCTCTACTTTCAATGAATCATTCACATTAAAAAATTTATAAACATTTGGTACACAAGTACTTGAAATTTAGGATTTATCAACGTATCAAAAGGACATTATTGGATAAAAGCCAATCCATTCCCAGCATTCTAATCAATTGAGAAAGAGGCAAACAATTCAATTGTACTGAAAGAGATTTTCTTTGAATTGCTACTGAATAGCTCAACATATATTTAAACAACAACTAGTTTACAAATGGAATAGATACAACGATAGTACATGGTCACAAGTTACAAACAAAGCAAAATTCTTGTACCATGAAAGGATGTGAAAGAACATATACATAATTCCAAAATTGTACCAAGATGACAAAAACTCTACTATTAACAATATATATCAAGGTTACTAATCTACATGTCCTTCCTTTTCTTAATGCGGCAAATCAAATTCTATCTTGTACACTGCTTCACCAAATGAGGTCCTCTACTATGATAGCATTTTCTTGAGTCTAGGGAGTCATTGTTTTGGATGCAGGTTTGTTGCTTCTATTAGCACTGCCATTTATTTTGAGATGCGTACCAACAGTTATTGACGGAATATTTTATCTAACCCTTAGAAGAATCGTAGTTGTTGTTGTTGTCACTCTGAAGTATCGTTCCACTTAGTTTAGCCTGAGTTGCATTCTGATATGGTTTTCTTGAACATCTTAGAGGTTTCCTAATTTGTCTCATTGGTCCTCCAATTCTATTGTCTACTTTTAAACTAACTTAAAAAATTCTACACTTGTTCACTAATATTGACAGATCTGTCAGTTGAAATATGTTTATTGCAATGCAAATGTCAGTCCTTAATCC